GGGCAGGGGCAGGGCCAGGGGCAGGGGCAGGGGCAGGGCCAGGGCCAGGGCCAGGGCCAGGGACAGACAGGGTTCGGGACCAACATCAGTGGGAGGAAGGGGGAAGAAACAGGCTCTGGCTGAGAGAAAGTCTCACGAGATGCAGGCTCAACAAGTCCCAGCCAAGCCTATGCGGAGCTCTGGAGCAAATATTACCTGCCAGGGGGTCCTGCATTGCGACAAAATGCCTGGGCCTTTGTTCCCTGCCTCTCTCCGTCCTAGCTGGGGCCCGTCCTGGGGAAGGCCGTGACCTTGGGAGAGGTGGCCCTTCCTTGGGAGAGGCCGACCTTGACGGAGCTGACAGCTGGAGGCAGTTTGCCAACCCCACTCACCACAGCTGGGCAGCAGGTCCTCCCCCGAAAGGGGATCCAGGTGACACATTTTTATTTCTATCACAAACTCCAAAGTTCAAAACGCTCCTTCGTTGCCCCTCTTTGGTTTGACATGCATTGGAGAGATGGGCAGCTGGGAGAATCCTCAGGGAAGGGACAGATGAGAAGCTAGTCCACCTTCTCCATTTTGCCAGTGACAAAACTGGGACCCAGAGAGAGGGGTTGCCGTCTCTCAGTTCTCACAGTCAGTGAGTGGTGAACTCAGGACCAACAGTCGGCCCTCCGGCTCCTCGGCCTGTGCTTGCCCCTAAAGGAGACTGCTCTGTGCTCCATGGGTCATGGCGGGAAGATCACTGCTCCCAGCCTGTGAATGGGCTACCTGTTGTGTCTGCCTTGCCCTCCAATGTCTTCAGTTTTTCTGGGAGTGCTAGGGATTCACTCCCCAAAGCACTGAGTGAGGGTGCCCCAGACCTAGGGAGAAGACTAAATGCAGATTCCTAGAGAATCAGCGCGGGAAGGGGGTGCTTAGAAATTGGCAGATTCCCAAAGCAGTTTCTTGCTTCTGATTTTAATCCTGGGATTAAGTCAGCTCAGCAGGGGTCATTCTGGAGTCTTCCATAATTTCTCTGGTTGGGCTAGGTATTGGTGTGGCCATCAGTGTGCATTGGGCGTTATAAGAAACATCCCCATGAGACGACCTGTGAGGTTTCCCACAGAGCTGGTACTGAGGACTCTCTCATGACATCCCACTGTGTCTTCTGATTGTCCCTATGGGCCCATGGGAGCCTCAGCATCAGGAATTGTTTTACATTGTAGGTACAGTGAGCACCGTTTGTGTGTTTCTTGCACTTCCAGGTTTTAGGTTAGGAAATCGGGGCTTGAGCTGAAGATTCCTTGGTACAAGTGCATGGACTTTCCAGTATTTGAGAAGATACTAACCACACCAGACTTTCTTCCCTTTTACCTTTTATTTTCCCTCCTCCCCATATTCTCTCTTCTTATTTTTTTTTAACTTTGCTCTATTTTATGTGATTTCTGTAAACTCCCTCAAATACTTTCTAGAATGATGTACTATGTAAATAACAAAATTAAACACGACTTCTTTGCAGGCCTTCAATTTGTCTT